GGTTAGACAGAGTATCAGCACCGTACTTGCAGGACCCACATCTACCTGAGAGATAGAGAGAGACCTACCCCCCCCAGACCTGAGTTGCGAGTCTAGTTGGATAGACCCGTTACAATGTGTCCCTGACAGCTGGTTGGATCGGGTTTTGGGTCAGCAGATTCACCTATCGGCATTGATTCGCCACTGACAGAGCCCTGGGATTTGTCGGTCATGACAGAGACATGGGATTGAGGGTGAGGGAGATGGAGTTCCCTCCCAGTCAGCATGAGCCTAACACAGTGTGAATGAAACCTTTTTAGTGGATGAAGGTGACATACCTTGTTCAACACAAAGTCACCGAGGTGAAGCATGATCTTTATGCTCAAATTTGGACCTGAGATTTCAGTCGCTATTTGTCAGGGGACAACTCCCGGGTCCCCATGACCCTCCCCTATGGTCCACAGCCTACTGGTGTAACCAGCCCTATCTGGGGCATGGCCTACTGTGGGTGAGGAGATGAGAAGGAAGCTAACTTCTCATCTTCCCACAGTGGCCACAATATCAGCAAAACTTCTGGGGATACCCAGAAGTCACATGAAGGGGTAGGAACCGGGCCCGGAGCATGCGGCGTGCGGAGCGTGTGCGCATGCAGGAAGTGCAGCAGGTGGAAGCGGGTCCGGATGCGGGTCCAGGTCCGGGCTAGTCAGGGTGTGTGCCCTGACACTATTGTCATATCCATACAATCCCGACCTCCGCTCCAGGCTCCCGGAACTCCGAAACTGACTCCGGAGCCCTACTTCCCTTCCGTCACCTTCTCCTTGCTGACTCCCAAGAGGTTATCCCACCTCCAGCTCCAACACCACCTTCAGTCTGACTCTGGAACATTCCAGGTCTGACCTCAACCTCAACACCTCCCAGACGAGCATGCAACACCTATGCTCCCAACTCCGGACCTCCGCTCCGGAATCCTGTTTGCGTCTCCGTCTCCGGAACCTCCGGTCTTAGCTCCGACCTCGGACTTTGACCCCACCTCCACTTATACCCATTGTATTGGTTAGCTCATTCCATTTAATTACCTTTGCCAATATTCCGGAGTTTAACTTCCGAGTTCAGACTTTCCGGACTTACTTCGGACCTTGCAACTATTGCATTGTCCCATTCAATTCCGCTATACTCCCTCATTCCTATTTGGGCTGCTGCTTCCTTTCTATTCAGTCAGCTGGCCATTCCCCACTCCCATCCTCCTTCCTTCCTCCTTGGGCCTTGGCCCTTCACTCCTCCTTTGGGAAACACCATTGAGTCAAACCCTTGACCCTCAGTGTTGTTCCTCCTTCCAGCTCCCTTTGTCTGCTTTCAGAGTACCCTTGCTCCTTTTGATTCCGGACCCCTCCTTATATACAATGTACATAGTGACTTGTAACCTCAGTCCGAAATTGACTTGATTTCCCCCCAAGAGACTTTCCTTTGCTAGATCCAAAATTAGGGACCCCCAGGACAACCAGCAATGGCACAGCACTCCACCTGAGTCACTGAGGCCAAGGTCCTTCCATGCTAAGTCTCTGATTCCACTCCGGAGTCGTCCGAATCCACTGTATCTAACATCTAACAGCTATGTTGTTGTAGGGAATGGATGTGTGGTGATGCGTGCTGTGCACGCTTTCTTTATTCATTGTTTATTACTCTTTATTTCTCGATGTAAACAATGTATATAAATTGCGGGGAAGGGTGAAACAGGTTTTCACTCTTCTCCTCCCCTGTCGAAATTACAGCTCTATACTGCCTAATTCCTGACAGCTTGAGGATAGCAGGAGTCAACACCAAGGTCGGAACCTCAACCGACCTTACAGTTGTAGTTGCTGGGATGCTATGGGACACTCCTCATGAAGGGAAGGTTGGGAATGAGAGAGAGAGGATGAACTAAAAGACAGATGTGTACATGGGCTTTTCCATCTGCTTCATGTTCGATAAAGGACAACCAGCCGCTGCTGTCATCCAAGTTCTACAATTTTTTTTCCAGTGGACCATGGTCATTGTTGATCATTCTTTGTACTCACTGTCCTGAACACCGATCCACATCATTGATGGATGATGGAAGTGTTGTTAGTAGCATTGTTCTCCATTGTATTTTCGGGGAATGACAGTGGCCTGTAAGGCATTGCGGTAACTTCATGTCATGGCTGTGCATTCCAGCCCGTTAGCTGCCCATCCCGATGCCACCTGAGCCCATTCCCGCTATGCGAGCATGAGCGCAAGCCCTGACCTCAGCCCTATCCTCCCTGAGGACTCCCTGCTCACTCCCCCACTTGCCCCTAGGCTCCCCTGCACCTGGCCGACTCCCCCACAGCCACACCAACCTCCCCACCCTGAGTCCGCCTCCAGCACCACGCCAAGCGCGACTCCTCTACCCCACCCACTTGGCCCCTACAGGGCCGCTACCATTCCCACGCCTGACTCCGGCCCAACTCCGAGTCCAGCGCCACTATGATACCATCGCTGCTATTGTGGCCCTACACTCCTTCCTTTATTTATCTGTTATTGTTTGTTTTGACCCTCGGTCATTGCCGGCCGCTGTGCGGCCAACCCTGCTCCTTATTCATGTTTGCTTCCGGACCCTTCGGCCTTCGGCCCGGGTCCGCTCCCATTCATTCTTTCCTCCTATATATATCCTGTATACTACATTATAGTACTTTAGCTCTAATATCGATTTGACCATGACCCCTCAAGTCCTGACCCCAACAAGGCAACCCCAGTAAGTCTGAAATGAGGGCCAAGAGACAGCTAGGGGGCACAGCGCTCCTTTAGAGTTGCTGAGGCCAAATGCCCTACCCTCGGGCCTTGTTTGCGGCATCACAGCCATCGCAGCCTATAGCGGCCTGCAACGGCGACCTTCGTGTCAGGGACTCGTCTGGGGTCGAGGGGCCCGGGTGTAGCATCCGGGACTGAGAGCCTGGCGGGGGGCGGATCGGGCGTGCGTACTGACAGGCCCAATGCGGGACAATGGTCCCTGACCACTTAGACTGAAGTGGAAAGTTGTTATTATCATTAAAGGAGGGATATTGTACTACTTACCTGAAGTGGAAAGTTGAGAAGAAGGCTACTTCTTCGGTTCCCACTTCAGGTTCATTTATATACATGCGGCTTGGATCACATGACGGGTGCCACGTCACCCTTGCACACAGCCGTAACCACCCGGGTATCTCCGTGGGAGATCCCAAGGGCATCCGGTGCAGGCGCGTGTGCTGGGCACAGCAGGAAGTCGCCCAAGGTGCCCGGGCCGGGTGCATGGTGGGCACGCTGCAGATGGGTCAATGGTACATTGATACAGAGAAAGTCGTCCATGTAGAATAAAGAGAGAATAAAGAAGGAGTAGGATAAGGAGAAGCTGAGGAGGGAAGGATGAGAGGGAAAGAAGGGAAAGGGGGAGGAGGTAAGGAGGGGTGGACCAGTGGGGTACCGGGTCAGGTTGGGCCAGGTGGAGCCGGGTCAGGCGGGTGTGCCCTGACACTTCGGTGCCGACCCCAGACCAGTGTCTAACACTTCACCCTCCTATATATGGCCATTCACTCTTCAGGTTAAAGATGCCTGGCCATAATAGCACGCTGGTCATTTTGAGAGAAACTACACAATCCCTGCCATGGAAAGCATTTTGACTTCGATGTTGACTTTGTTACCCATTTTGTGCATGGATCCAGACATTGAGCGATGAACACCATTATTCGGATGGTGCGTGTCTTGCTGTAGCTTGCATCTCACGGACGTACACTCTGCAGGACAGGAGAACAAGGGAAAATATGAAATTGAAATGATTACCCCCAGTGAAGGCAGGTGGAGATCCTTCTGTTTCGGATCTGCAATGTCACTGTCCTGGTGATCCACCTGAATGGGAAAGTATGAGAACAGTGTTTCAGCCTGAGAGGGGGATGCTGTCAGTGCAGGATGGGCAGTTACAGGAGTCCTTGAGCACGCAGCATCGGTGAGGGACAGTGAAGTGTGCTCTGAATGGTTTCAGACTTCATCCTTCCCTTTTTTTTCAATTTATCATAATCTTTTTTTATCACTGATGCGGAGGCCAAAGGCAATGGGGTTGAAGATGTTTGGTTTAGACTGACATGCATTTGAACAGATTATAATCTCGTACTTCAGACACACTTTGGAATGTACAGCACTGACACAGAACATACAGCGGCAGCTGAAGGACACGTTCAGACTGAATGGAGTTTGGGTTTTTGGGGACATGAAATGTAAAGCGAGAGACAGTGAAGCAGTCATTTGGTTTTTTTCTGGTGACTCTTTCCTTTGCCCTTTCCTTCAGTGTCTTCACCAATGTCCACTTCCACCTCCTGTCATGACCAACAAATCCTGGGGCTCCGTCAGTGGCGAATCTGCCATCCCAAAACCCGATCCAACCAGCCCTCAATCCAATGTCTGGCCCCCTGCCCTACCAAGTGAGACTTTGCCAACAATCAGACCCTAGACCCTGCCGGCATTCCGACTTCACTTCCAGTTCCCGAGCCTTTGGTGCTCCCAGCATCCAGTCCCTCTGGTTCCTCCTAGGCCTATAGCACAACTCAGTCTCACATCCCTGCCTCCGCACCCTCCGCACATTTTGCACCTTCCACATTCCGTGCATCTCCTACATCTGGACCTCTGCCCACCTCTGCACCCTCTGCACCCCTGCCACTCCTGGTTGACCTCCATGTTGAAATCCTTGTTTTCTTGGTACGCTGTGGACCGTCCATTGAGTCCGTCGGACTATACATCTTGCGCACGGGCATTTCCATGAAGGATTGCCTGATGCTTCTACTTTTGGCATCCATGTTGATGAACGCAGTCGAGGATGGCTTAAAAGCCACCTCACGCAATTTTTCTCTTTCCTCTCTCCTCAGTTCACATCTTTGGAACTGAGGTGAGACTCCCTTTTCATCACTTGGAATATTGTCTAATCTTGTACATATTTCCTAGCGCTAATTCGCGACTAGGTAATGACTAATAATACAAGTTCACATCTTTGGAACTGAGCGCTAATTCGCGACTAGTTCATAATTTCAATACTCCACACCCTGTAGTCAGGTCAACACTCCCCTCCGTACCTTTGCTGGCCATATGCTGGTGCTGAGCTGCAGGGAAGCACCTTGTTGTCAAGGTTGCAGGTGGAACAGCTTCAGTCTGTTCCATGAAACTTGACTCTCCACTCATTGATGTATCCTCAGAGTCGAGGGGAGGAACAGTGCTCACCTCTGGAGGAGGTGGTGGAAACCCCTGGATGGGGTGGGATGTAGGCAGCGGTGGTGCAAATTTGCCCACTTGTAGCCTGGATAGGCCATAAGCGGTCATATTTGCCGCTTTTCTCACCTTAGCCTCTTTGGATGGGTGGTGTTTCCAAAATGAGGTCAGGATGTATTTCATTCCTGCCTCTTTGATAACGCCAGGCATCAAAGCCAGGCATTTGAACCGTTCATCCAGTTCAGATATGGATGGTTTACATCCGGGCACGAACTTCATCTCATAGAATTGAGCATGTCGAGCATGCACTTCTGGTGGGGCATTATCAATGCCATTCACAGTGTCAGAGACCAGATCGAGACGAAGGAATGTCTCCGTGGCGGAGGGCTTCGGCCTCAGCGACTTATGCCAGGAGCGCTGTGCCAAGTTACATGTCCATGCCCTAACTTACTGACTGGCAATGAGAACTAAAGGGGGTCAACTCTAGTCGATTTTATTACTGAGGTGTAACCTATGTACAAGTTGAGTATATATAGTTACAACGAGGGCTGGCCCGTAAATGGTGGGGCCGAGTGGAGTGGAGCTAACAGAGTTAAACATTAGCTGATTGAATATTACTGACAAGTCAGGTTACGGGGTTAGTGGAATGGTAGGTGATAACCCAGAAACAGAAAGGAGGGATAGGCCCAAAGGTGGGCTTGCAGGGCAAGCGAGTGAATTGCCCAGCGGAGGCGGGAGTGTGCTAGCGGACGTTGGAGCTGTCCGGAAACCTTCGGGGCTCCGTACTTAGGGAGGCATAGGTAATATATTGAAAAGAGGGGGTGGTGACCATCGAAGAGAAGCGGAGGTGGTTGCGGAATACGGGAGCTCCAAGGTTAGTGAGGAAGGAGTGGAGGTAGTCCAGAGAGTTCGGAGGTAGTGGAAGTCGATGGCCAAGTATGGATATGACACACAGCGTGTTTGTTGATCCAGTTAATGTTATAGGAATGGACCTAGAATCTTATGGTCCGTGACTATGAACAATCGAGCCTTTGGTCCCTTCTGTTAGAACTTGGGGATTCGGACGACTCCGGAATGGAATCGGAGACTTAGCATGGAAGGACCTTGGCCTCAGCGACTCAGGCGGAGTGCTGTGCCATTGCTGGTTGTCCTAGGGGTCCCTAATTTCAGATCTAGCAGAGGGAAAGTCTCTTGGGGGAATTCCAGTCGATTTCGGACTGAGGTTACAAGTTACTAGGTACATTGTATATAAGGAGGGGTCCGGAATCAAAAGGAACAAGGGTAAGACGAAAGGAGACAAAGGGAGATGGAAAGAGGAACAACACCGAGGGTCAAGTGTTTGACTCAATGGTGTTCCCCAAAGGAGGAATGAAGGGCCAAGGCCCAAGGAGGAAGGAAGGAGGATGGGAGTCGGGAATGGCTAGCTGACTGAATAGAAAGGAAGCAGCAGCCCAAATAGGAATGAGGGAGAATAGCGGAATTGAAATGGACAATGCAATAGTTGCAAGGTCCGGAGTAAGTCCGGAAAGTCCGAACTCGGAGGTTAAACTCCGGAATATTGGCAAAGGTAATTAAATGGAATGAGCTAACCAATACAATGGGTATAAGCAGAGGTGGGGTCAAAGTCCGAGGTCAGAGCTAAGACCAGAGGTTCCGGAGACAGAGATGCAAACAGGATTCCGGAGCGGAGGTCCGGAGTCGGGAGCATAGGTGTTGCGTACTCGTCTGGAAGGTGTCGAGGTTGGGGTTGGACCCGGAATGTTCCGGAGTCGGACCGAAGGTGGTGTCCAAGCCGGAGGTGGGATAACCTCTTGGGAGTCGGCAAGGAGAAGGTGATGGAGGGGGAGTAGGGCTCCGGGAGTCGGAGTTCGGAGTTCCGGGAGCCCGGAGCGGAGGTCGGGATTGTATGGATATGACACCTTCACCTTTATTTCACTGTCAAACCCCATGCCAAGCTTTCCCACTGGGTTTTGGTGCTGGCTGGGGAATTTGTTGAGTTTCAAGGGACTTCCCTTGACCATTGTGACTTTTATATTAGATAGTTAGAAGTCATATGATGTGTAAGGCAGATGCCGAAAAATGTCTTTCTTCATTATCGAATACATAACCCACAAACCTTGTACTGCAATTGTAACATCCTCACCTTTGTGCCACCACTGTAAACTCAACCTGTAACCTCGGAACCATGTCCACCTCCCTATTCATCCTCTCCATGACAAAACCGCAGCAAGGAGGGCATTCCCATGCCCAACCTCCTGCTGCCCGCTGTAGGAGAAATAACGGCCACACTATGGAAACCCATTATGGAAATATGCCAGATAAATCACAAAACCTCATACGACAAGTAGATATGAGAAAATAGAAGGACCTGAATTTTAACGAATTTTACGAATTGTTACGAATTATTATGACTATACATGATAAATCGAAAGAAAGAAAAATAGCAAAAATACTTCAAGCTTACCATCAACGAGACGGAATTCCCGGGGGAATTTATAGCAAATATTAAAACAAGAATTAGGACAATCAACCAAGATTTGACTATAAAAACAATCAGAGAACCTCCATGGAAACTACTTTCCCATGTCCGCACACGTAGCCAAGGATGGAAGTACCACAGAACAAGGATTCCTCAGGAACTAATGCAAAATTCAAAGTCGTGTTTATAATAGGAAATGTAGATGTCCCCCAAACGGACCCAATGAGAGTAATTACAGGGGAAACTACCCATAAACGACGGAGATATGACTAAAACTCCTGCAAAATGAGGACAATATCTAAAAGGCAAGCGCGAAAATTAACCAGTAACGACCGAGACAAGCTTGATGGGCCATTAGAAAGGAAGGAATCTAATCTTAATCCTCCCAAATTTTCATAATAAAAGGATCATGTGTTAATGAGATATCCAATAACGGGAATAGCGACATCAAAAGTCCGAGCTCAGGGAAAAGATGATGTTTGCGTAGGACCCATAATTAAAACATACAACGAAATTTACACGGAAATTATTAAAAATGGGGAACTATAGTTATGCAAATTTTCAGCCCAAACGGTCCAGCCATTGTGAAGTTATACCCATGACAGGAATATAGAAATCTGCATCATGTGTAATGACACGTGAGGGTGGCGATGCGCAGGGAACCGGCCATCGGAACCGAGATCCGCACTTCGGCAGATCGCGAAGACCAATTTCCGTCCAAATAAGGAAGAGCCTGGTCAAAACAAAACACAGAAAGTGCAAAACAACCTTAGATCATGAGGGAAAAATCTGAAATAAATCACAGAAGCCCATATGAAAGAAATAAAAACCCGTGCATATCATAAATCCCGAACAATTAAACGGAAACGGCACCCGCATACGAACGACTATGGGAATGATGCACATGATTACCGAATGTGCACGCGAACTTTTGCTAACTCAACGAATACCAGGAAATAGGACACAACCTTAGTACCATTGGAAAGGTGGGAATAAATGAAAATTTATGATACCAAGAACGTGAGAAAACATCCAGAAATGAATGAGATATAGGGACATGAAGTTAGAAACCTGAAAAACATGCAGGAAAACAGCTTCAAGAGGTCCAGAGTCCTAAATAAAATACATAAAAATATGATATCTTCGACGACCTACTATAACAATGAACAATACATATGGAGGATTGGGATGTGATAATACAAAGGGGAATCAGGGAATATGAACGAAATTCACGAAAACCACTAAACTACGACGGATCATGGCGGGAATTTTAGGGAACGATATTCTAATGAGGTGGAGAGCTATAACACATTCGTTTGAGTAATTCTTGACTACTAGCAACTTTTTGTTTCAGTTTTAAACCTGAATAATTCACTCATTTACCATTTCAGTCTCATTTTAACTAAATGTCACTAAATAAAAATGGAATAAATCAGCTGAAGGTCTCAGCACAGCCATACGCATAGTAATGCGAAGTTTGAATTCAGAATCATCGAGTCATAGCAAATTTAATGGTATATATAGGGAATTTGAAATAGGTAACTGTGGCAAATGCAGCGCAGCCAAGTTCTAATTAACCATTAAAATAGCTTAGGCGAGGGAGGACAATAAGGATTCTAGGTGCAGTCTGACCACAGTAGAACCGCAGTTCAGCGCAGCAAAAGCGCAGTAGAACTATAGCGTGAAAGTTTCATTTTTTATTCAGTATGAGAAAAATACACTGTAAATAAATCCTGTAAATAGAAGGTAGAGCGTGAAAAAGGAAGGCGACCCAAGGAGTATAAAAGGGAGACCCTTTCTGCGACTTTTTGCCCCCCTTAGAGAAGTAAGAAAATAGAGTATTATTTTTCTCAAGCATTTCTGGTTGTCACTCCAGTGCGAAAAAGTGATATACAGTTAAGATTGCCACTGTAGTAAAAGGCAGCAATTAAGGAGAGAAATATTAAGTAGATATTTCAACAGGAGAGCTGGTTAACACTCCAGATTTCAAAGTGTAAACACAAAACAGTTATCTTGCTACTGTTAAAACAAGCAATAAAATAAGACAAAAATAAAACAAACCCAAGGGACACTCCAGACACAATCCAAATTCATTAACTGAATAGAATCTTTGAAACTTCACCAAGTAGAAGATTAAATTCAAGTTTAAATCCAAATTAAACAACGCTACTCAGAATTACACCTAGACAAATTAAGAAATTTCAATAAAGAAACAGCTCCGCAGGGCTCGGTTTATCTGTAAGTCAATTCCCAGGAACTTTAAAACTAACCCATAAAAATAGAATTAGCCAAAACACTCGGATTGGTACTATATTTACAATAAATAATACTAGTACACTTCCCCATCCTAACTAAAGAACCAGGGAACAGCTTGGTGGTGGTCTCGTTTGAACCTCCCAACTGACCTTCCTTTGTTCTCTCCTTCACCACTCCCACCAGTCCACCGGGTGGTTGAGCGGTCACTCCCATCCAACCAGAAGTTCCCTATCGGGAACTGTAGCCTATCCCACCTCCTTAGGAGAAGGATATAGTCCAGGCAGCTCCAGAATGTCTGGCCACGCACCCGCGGGTCCCACTTCCCATGGTCACTCACTACCGTGCACTGGTCCACCAGCCCGCTTTCCCCAACAACTCCCACTACTGGTACGCTCCCGTGAGCGCCAAGTCACTGATAGCCACCAACTGGGTGACTCCCTTTGGGAGTCCCAGTATCCCACGCTACGGGTACGCT